GTATGGAACATTGAATCCCATCAAATACCGAGGAGTGGGAAAAAGAACCCAGTTGAAACCGGCCAAAACAACAGTATACACATATTTTTCCTAACAAAATGTTTATTTTTTCGTGTTTATTTTTGCAGGGTCAAAGATGATCTTGCGAAGTGTGTCCGGCCTCTTCCGGTCCGGGGAGCTCACGGCCATCCTGGGCCCGTCTGGAGCCGGCAAGTCGACGCTGCTCAACGTGCTGGCGGGCTACAAGTGAGTACACCAGTACCAGTACAGGGGTGGGGTGACTGGAGTGACCCCCAGCGACGCGTCGCCACAGCACCCCCTATGCCTGACTCGCGGCTGTGTTGTGTTGCAGGACGGGCGACGCCACGGGCACCATCAACATCAACGGCCGCCCCCGTGACGCGGCCGTCTTCCGCAAGCTCTCCCGGTACATCATGCAGGAGGACTTGCTGCAGCAGCACATCACCGTGCTCGAGTCCATGACGATCGCGGCCGACCTCAAGCTGGGAAACACGCTGAGCAGAGCCCAAAAGCGGACAGCGGTGAGTGCTCCTCCAGTTCGGAATCGGATTCGCAATTTCACTGTTCCAAGCTCAGAATTTTCCATCTCTTTCTCGACACAGATCGACGAGATCCTGGACATGCTCCGGCTAACCAAGGCACGTGACACCCAGACCTCGAAGCTGTCCGGCGGCGAGCGCAAGCGGCTGTCCATCGCCCAGGAGCTTGTCAACAACCCGCCCGTCATCTTCCTGGACGAGCCGACCACCGGGCTGGACGACCTGTCCTCCTCGCAGTGCATCCAGCTGCTCAAGATGCTGGCGCGCGGCGGGCGGACCGTCATCTGCAGTGTGCACACGCCCTCCGCCAAGCTGTTCGACATGTTCGACCACGTGTACATCGTGAGCGAGGGCCAGTGCGTGTTCCAGGGCAAGGGCAGAGACATTGTACCGTTCCTCTCTTCCCTTGGGCTCCAGTGCCCCAAGACGTACAACCCCGCAGACTTCAGTGAGTCAACAGAGCTATCAGACTAGGGACCATCCAGAATGTACGTCCGATTTTTTTAAAGATTCGTTCAGCGAAAAAGGGAAATGAGCGCCTGCGAGGCTCAAGGTAGGCCAGCCCGCAGAACACACATGCACTACATACGAGAAGTTGCCTACCCACCAGGCGCTCCGAGTGCTAGCACAGGATGAACTTGGCAGTTTTGGAACAGCGAATCACGGACGTACCTTGTGGATGATCCCCCAGCATTGAGGGTGGCCCACATACCCCGAACAATTTTATAGTTATACTGTACCGCATGCAGCCGTGCGGGCGAGCTTGCCTACCGCCTTATGGCACCGCGTCCACACGGCTGCATGCTGTACAGTATAACTACAATATCGTCCGGGGTATGAGGGCCACCCTGTATTTTCATCGTTTTGAGAGTGTGCGGAGCCTAACTTAGATTTTTTTATTTTTAAAGTGGTGGAAGCCGCAAGTGGAGAGTATGGAAATCACACTGAAAGGATGTCTGCTGCTGTTGACAATGGACGGTGTTACCGGTGGTGTAAAGATCCCAGGACCCTTCAGCATCAAAGTAACTTCATACACTAAGACCACACACTTTCATCTAAATACATAAAACGAAGAATTTTTTAATATGAATTGTTTGTTTTTCTTAGGTTCAAGGACTGACATAGTCAACACCTCACCCAGTGCAAACTACGATTTCAGTAGTTCAAGTTTCATGCAATTCCGAATTCTTATGTACCGCAATTTGCTGCAAACTTGGAGAGATTCTGTAAGAAAATATTTAATTCAACGTATTCAAAATATCTTATCGTGATTGTCAGATTCCATTAGATTCCATTCTAATATTTTTTTTTATCATGTTCTGTAGGGGTACTTATTGCTTGTTGCATCAATGCACTTTTTTGTTGCTCTAATCATTGGAATGCTGTTCTACCAAATGGGAAATGATGGATCAAAAACAATATTCAACTTTGGATTTTGCTTCACATGCATCATTGTATTTATGTATATCCCTATGCTTCCCATTCTTTTAAAATGTAAGTTAAAAATAATCTTGATGACACACTTCAGTTATGATTAGTAATTATAGTAAATTTTCTAAAATACTATGCCAACAATAGTTCCAGGTGAAGTACAGCTCTTGAAACGAGAATACTTCAATCGATGGTACAGCTTAAATGCATACTTCTGTGCAATGACAGTAGCAAGATTACCAACTCAGGTACAAGGATATATTTACCATTTGCAAAATGTTGGAATTATCTTGTTTTATATCAATCTTTTTTTTTCTTTTTTCAAAATGAGTACATAGGTTTATATAATGTACCATTGTTGATTTACTCTGTGTTCTTGTTTCAGATAATTTTGGGACTTCTCTACATTGCTTTGGTGTACCCTATAACTGATCAGCCTCTTGAACCTATGCGCCTATTGAAGTTCAGCATAATTTGCCTATTGGTATCAGTGGTTTCAGAAAGTTTCGGCCTTATTATTGGATCTACTTTGAGTCTAGTGGTAAGCAAGTACTTTAAAATATGATTTAAATTAAAAAAAACTTTTTGACGAAATGTTTTATGAATTTCTTTTCTGCTCTACAGAATAGTATGTTTGTCGGCCCAGCATTTTCTGTTCCTTTCATGCTTCTTGCGGTGTATGGAATGGGTAATGGCTCTGATGAAAATGCAATTCCGCTACACTATAGACTGGCGATGTCTCTATCATACCTTCGCTATGGTTTAGAGGGTATTGTCATCTCGATCTATGGTGATCATAGAGCATCTCTTGTTTGCCCTGATAGTGAGGTTTACTGCCCTCTCCAAGATCCACGCCAGCTTCTGAGAGAGGTAAAGTATTATTATGATTCTATTTCAAATAAATCGGTTTTGTTTTTCATGGGAAAGCAAACCAAAACCACTGTATGTGAAATTTCTTATCATTTCAGATGGGCATGGAGCATGTGAAATATTGGGTAGATGTTGTGGCTCTTGTCTCCTCATTCATCTTATTCCGGCTATTATCTTACACTGTGCTCCGAGTCAGATTGTCTACAACTAAACCTATTCCTGCAGTCAATTTTATTAGTAGAATGGTCAAGACTCATTTAAACATCAACTTACGATGATTGAGAGGACACAAAGAGATTTGTGAAACAGACTGATCTTAGCTACTTTTCCATGACATTAAAACTGTGAACCACTGTTTGATTGAAACAATCCGGTGGCAATAATTAGATTATCTATTTGTCTGGACTGTAGATTTTATATGTGTGTGAAATTCAAATATATATATATATATAGATGAATGTATATATTTTATTTAATAAAGTGTTGATTGTTTTTAAAAGGTGTTAATATACTTGTCAAGTTGTGAAGCTAATTTATAACTGATTTATGTTACACTTAAAAAATGGCCGAATGCCACTCTTCAAATAAAATATGGGTGGAAAGGAAAGTACATAAGTATCTTCAAGTTAGGATATGTATCACTGTTCATGAGTGTACAGTTCTGTATTGACAGACTGTTTATAAAGTGTCTTGATCTAGATGTTTATTGTATTTGTATTTTACAAATATTTTCAAGGTGTTTGCTCATTTATTTGTTCTTTGCTGCATTCAGAATGTATGCTTTTTTATTTCTCCTCTACCAGGATGCTAATAGTGATATAATGAATGTGATAGCTTAGTAGCCACATTCCTCCATTATCATAATGTGATAGAAACTATGTTAGAAAACTCAATGTCTACAAGAAACAGTTAGGTGTTTCTTAAAAGTAATCTACAGGGAATACTCCAATTTCCCGACAAATGGCTATATGATGTAACCATAATTGCTTTATGTTTTGTGCAGATACAGCGTGAATGTTGTTAAAGAAATGAACTGTGATACTCTTGGAAAGTTAGCCGAAAGTTTATCTACAATCTATTTTAGAAATATAAGGTAAAACCCACATAACAGAAGATATCTTATGCATATTTTGAATTTTTCAAGAAATGCCATGTATGATGATATATGAAATAATGCCTTCTTTCAGATGTAGCAAAGATGTTTTTGCTCTGTGGGAATGCATTACTGTAGAGTATTGACTGTAGTATTGAAGAAATACAACTTTTTCCTCTCGGAGGGTGTCTGTTACTTATGCAGTAGCCAACTGGCTTGTTAATGTGAGCCGCATCAGTGACTTGTGAACTATAGCCCCTTGGATTCTCTTGTGGCTCAAGCAATAGTTGCAGAGTTGCAAAATTATAATTTCATTTGATATCCTCTGAGAGCAGGAAAATCAAATTCCTCAACTACTGAAAGTATTTAAAACATGTGAGTGTGTGAAGCAGTCTATGCGTTTTCCTATTGTTTGAATTTGTATGGATTTTCCAAATAAAAACACTGTTTTTGCAAAATTTTAAACAATAAGGGTTTTTTTCACTGCCACGAGCCTTACACCTATTTCTGCAGTCAGTTCAGCTAAAACTGCCTGTGGACAAAAATAAAAAATAGAAATGGGGGAAGTACATCCTCATCCCACGGCAGTCGAGGACATTGTCTTAGGGACAGTAAGTCTCACCCACCAGAGACTGCAGAAGACTCTTCCTTACTGATGATGCCGTGCCATCAATTTTTCCAGAATATCCTATCAACAAAAATAGCTACAAAACCACAAAAAGGAGAGCTCCTCAAGAGAGACAACCACCAGTGCCTAATAGGAAAAGTTTGGAAAACAGGTATGGCAATTTTGTTAGATTGGAGACATTTATAATTTTTGTGCACGGGAAATTAAATAGAAGTAAAATCTACAATTTTTTTCCGGGCAATACTGGAGGTTACTCCTCCAGAATGAAACTAATAATAATAATAATCTAAATGAAATAGAAGCTCCTGAACACATTGAAAGAGCTTTAGAGAGAAGAATTATTACTATGTGATAGACCTTTACTCACTCTCTCAATTTATAAGCCATGAACCAGGCTGTGTTACGAGGCCCAGCCGCAATTGTCATATCCACATGGGGCATAATTTTTTGTCATTTGTCCACATAGGAACTGTTGGCACAACAATTCAGATCGACAGATTTCTAAAACTTATCATCAATTAAATAAAAATCAGTCTGTTCCAAAGGGACGTCGCTTACTTTCCAGTTGTGGACATTCTTGCAGATATTGAAAAGCTACTTCAAAATCTGGATTCAGTTTGACCATGCCCTGGTACAGAGAAAGAGGGAGGTATTAGATTTGAAAAGTGCTCTCTGTTCTTAGACCCCTCCATCATCATCATCATCATCATCATCATCATCACCCCCATCATCTTTCAAGAGTTGCAGGAGCATTGTGCAGGCTTTTTTTTTTTTTAAATTCTTGTTTTATTTTTTGTCTATTAAATTGAAATGATTTTAGCTTGGTCCTTGAAAGTATTTGAAACAAACCTTTATAATTCATTCTATTTTATCTAATCACTTATGTATTCTAGTTTCATTAATTATGCTTATTATTGAACACTTTTGTCTCTGAACCATCAAATCTCACTGTACAAAGAGGTAATGAAGACATCGGCGACTGATCAAGAGGGTTTCTGCATTGGATGAAATTAAAATTTATTCTATGTCGTATTTGTTTCAAACAATTTTCCACATTTTTGTTATGATGTGATCGATTTCCTTTTAAGTTCCCTCCTTTAACATTGTGTAATAACAGCCCTAATCACGCCCTAGTATGTTTATGGGTAACTATGCATGTACACCTCAAGAGGCAATGGGTCTGCTGCACAGATTGTCTTTAGCATGGCTCCATGGAAATGGTAAGTCTTTATTCTTATCTGCCAATATTGCAAAAATTTCTTCCTGAATGAGACCTGATTGATCAGTTTGTCTCATGTTATCAGGAGCTCGTAATACTCCATACCTAACTCCTCCCTTGAGTCCTGTTGGATTTATATGCTCTCAGGACATAGGACTACACTGACAAAGACTTCAACTTACTCATCCATTGAAGTTGCCTTTACTTTTTTGAATTTACATTATCAAGTGTTAATGTTGTTTGTTGCTACATTTTAGTTCACTTGTGTTTTTTTAAAAGCTATCCAATAACAGGCTGTTGGAGAATTACGTTTTAGTTGCACTGTTTTAAGAAAGCCTCAGTGTTTTACGCTGTTTAAAACTGGTAATTCTATCGATGCATTCCTTCTTTGTTGTAATTTCTCACAGCACCAGCACTCCGCATTCAAAAGAATCTTTATTTGAATTTTCATAGTTTGATTAGTATTATATTTTATCTCCAATATGCATTTATCTGTATGATTCAACTTTTTGATACAGTTTGCTCTTTGGAGAGGTTTTATTGTGAAGTTTTTGTAGTACATAGATTTATTGAATTAATCTTAACTTTAATGCAAAATTAACAGTTGTTTAAGTGAGGCTGCTTCAAGTCGTGTCAATGGAATGCCAATGCCAATGCAGCTCAAATACAGCAAAGAAAGGTTTCAAAGGAATAAAGTACACCAATCGTGATCAAATTGCAATTTAATTTTTATTATTTTTTTTTTTGATTTTTTTTTCTTAATGTAAATGAGACAAAGCGTGTATGAATTCAATGTTGAAATGTGTTGTATGTTCAAATGAAAACTGATGAGTACCTTATGCTACAGTCATTATTTTAAAAATTGCGATAAACAGATGAAGGGTTGAATGATAATGCTATGTACAAACGACTTCCTCTAAGCAATGGTGCTAAGCAACGACCAGAAATGCAGGATTTAAAATGAACTAGCGCATCACAGGGAACACAATGTGAGTGTAGTTTTTGTTGAGTGTATCTCTTAGTTCATTGGCATGTTCCATGTCTCTCGTCTCGCACGTTACCGTGACCTGGAATGTGAGAATTCAGTGTTACCGTTGTTTGCTTCACCCATCAAGTCGAAAACCACGATCTTCAACCTACCGAGACACTGAAAACGTCGGACGCGATCCAGGCCCTCTCATGCTCGATGTCTTTGATAGACACACCGAGCCGCGCCAGTTGGGAGCAGAGCTCAGCGATGCCTCCTGGCCGGTCGCTCACCGTCACGGAAAACTTCATGAGCCTCCCATCGACGGCAAGACCGCGCTCCAAGCAGCGCCCCAACACCGTTGTATCGATGTTACCCCCGCAAAGCAAGAGTACGAGTCTAAAGAGCAAGAGACGGGGAGGGTGAGTCTTGTAAGTTCAGCCAGTCGGCCCGCTTGTGCGGACTTAGGCGTATGGTGACTGCTGAGCCATGCAGGTGTCACTTACTTCTTGCCCTTGAACTCGTCGAGCTGGCCGTCCAGGATGGCCGCCAAACCGCAGGCGCCGGCGCCCTCCACGACGCACTTCTCGAGTTCCACCAGCCTGAGGATGGAGACGGCCACGGTCTCCTCCTTGACGACCACCTGCGAGTGCACGAACAGTCGCGTGAGTGCCTGCGGCGGCGGAGCGTCTCCGCGAGTAGCCAACCCGGTCCTTCCCCCTCACCATTCTGTCGACGAGCGGCGCCGCCGTCACGAAGGCGTTGACGCCCACCGTGGGCACGGCGAGGCCGTCCGCGATGGTGGGCCCGCCGGCCACGGGCACGGGCTTACCCGCCTCCAACGCGGCCGAGAAGCTGGCGCAGCGCTCCGACTCCACGCCCTGCAAGCAACACGTCGGTGAGTGGGCCGCTCGCCGCGCGCCTGGGAGGCGGCGTCGTGGTGCACCGGACAGCAACACTTACGATGATCTTGACGTTGGGCCGCATGGACTTGACCGCGGTGGCGATGCCGGCGATGAGGCCCGCGCCGCCCACGGGGACCACGATGGCGTCCACGTCGGGCACCTGCTCCAGGATCTCGAGGCCGAGCGTGCCCTGGCCCGCCATGATGTGGGGGTGGTCGTAGCCGTTGATGTAGGCCAGCTCCTCCTGGCGCGCCATGCGCATGGCGATGGCCTTGGCCTCGGCCATGTCCTGGCCCTGCACCACCACGGTGGCGCCGTGCTGCCGGCAGCACTGGATCTTCATCATGGGCGCCACGAGGGGCATGACGACGGTGACGGGGATGCCGAGGAGCTTGCCGTGGTAGGACAGCGCGAGGGCGTGGTTGCCCAGCGAGGCCGAGATGACGCCCCGGGACTTCTGCGAGGCCGGCAGCTCCATGAGCGCGTACCGGGCGCCGCGCTCCTTGAAGCTGCCGGTGAACTGGAGGAAGTCCTGCTTCAGGTACACCTCCATCCCCGTGAGCGATGACAGGTGCGACAGCTATGTCAAACACAAAGAGCACCTCATCTTACAACTCCCATTCGCTCGCATATGTGTCGCACAGCCCGCTGACAGCGGCTTGCGCGCACCAGTTTAGGTCGGAATATACGTCGGATCTGTTTTTCGATTACAAAACGCGGACGTCGCGCTGTTACATGACAGATACCGCCCTCAGCTGCTCCGCGTGATCGAGGCTTTCTCTCGCCCGCCTACACCTCAGTCTCGCGGAAAGGACGAGTCGTGCGAGTTTATCGCGTCCAGGCCGGAGGGGCTTATCTGCGTCAGCCTGGCCATCATTATGAGCGGGAGGCTGCAGCTCGCCGACAAACACGAATTGGGTCATTGACAGTCCGGCCCAAATAAACCAGTTAGCGACAAACGGAGTCTATGAAAGATAGTCAAAACGGAAAGAAAAAAGGGGGGACGGGGTGGGTGGTTCGATATCATCAGGGAGATGCCATGATTTATTCACCTCGGAATATCGTGACGGATCGCTCACACTCGAGGGCGAATCTGAACAAGTGCACTGAAGGGACTGTGAGAAAAGTACCCCTCCTCCCCCCCTACACCGTATTGTATGAACGGTCCAACAAACTTGTATAGTTATTATATTATATTACTCCTTTCGAGAAACAGGGGTAGTTCTCTTAAGCTCACCGATAGGTTTTCCAACCCACTTAGTGCAAGGGAATGGGGATTATTTCGAAATTGATTTCTCACCATGCAGGGCGTGTTGAGGACGCCACCCTTGATCTTGAAGGCGGCCGAGGTCACATCCTCAAACTGGAGGCAGATGGGGTTGTCTGCGTCGCACATCGGGTCCTTGCCGTCCAATGTTATCATCCCTCGGTACACGGGCGTGGCGCCTGCGTGTGCAACGAGCATTGGACAGGTGCATCAAAATTCAGCGGTTGCAATTTGCTTCCATAATTCCAGACGCAACAGTCGTGCGGTGGGAATTCCCTCGGCACCCTCGGACACGTCTCAAGTCACTTACCGTTCTTCACCCCGTTGGCACTTCCGTTGGCACTTCCGTTGGCACTGCCGTTCTTGATCCCGTTAGTCGATGACGTTCCGTTGGTGGTCGATGTGCCGTTGGCGTTTGGAACAGTCACGTTAGCCAAAAGGTCCGATGAACTTGCCACCTTGTCCTTCATGGTTTTCTTTTTGATTTGAGGGTTGGTTTCAGTAGTCTTCTACAGCAAAAATTACAAAAAATAAGTTATGTAGGCCCAATTATATTTTGATCGAGAAAATAACATTTACCATTTACATACAAAAGATACGTTTTCAGGCTCATTTCTCACTCTCCTTCAAAATACGTTATTTCGACATTTTCACACTTCCCTTCAAAACGACTGCTATTCCAATTTTCACTCTGTGGAAATACGCGAAATGAAAGTGTCTCCGCGTGATACGGAGCCAGCCAAGCCGAGCGCGTTATCAGCCGCCCGCCCCGCCCTTATCACCACACTCCTTTGGTCTGATCAGCCATCGGCCGCGGACCGGACCGCCTCCTCTCTTCGCCGTGACCCGATCGCGCGCGTGGCGGGCCGTGACCGCGTGACGGGGTGAGACCGCGTGGCGGTGGCGTGACGCAGCGTGACGAGGCGCTAATTGTGCCCTTCGTCACAAGTCGCTTCCCGCACGGCGGACCCTCCCTCCATCCCTCAAGTCCATCGTCTACTATATTGCTCTCACTATCATGTCATTTCTTGCGGGTGCGGGATTTTTCCAAATGGTGTTTTGAATGTAGTCGACACTAACATGACATCAAAATAAATCCCCAATTTCTTTAATTAGCGACTAAAATGTCCCAGCGGATTTATGCAGAGAGGGGGGGGGGCTTACCTGGAGACCTGTTCCGGACGGGCTGACCAGTGCTTCGCCGTCGCACACCATTCGTGGTCTGTGGTGTCACCGGGAGGGCGCCGGGCGGCGTGTGTGCCTTGCTCCGGGGGGTCCGGTGATGAGTGGCCGTTGGCAGCAGACAGCTCCGTCGTGTGGTGTTGCTCTGTCCCCGGCGCTCTGTGGATGACTGGACTTGGGGTTCGGCTCTGGACCATCTCGAGCTCGCTGAGCAGCACATGGCTGCACCGCCGCGCCAAGCCGGCCGGCCAAACTGCGCCCCAACCCCCGCC